GGTGTAAGTTTCAGAATCAAATATTTTAGTAAATGTACTAAAACTGAGTTTTTCCAAGAAAACTTTTTTCATCACATCTTGATTTGCAAGTTCACCGCTCGCTTTTTTATCAACAATAACCTGCGGGATCGAGCGATAAGAGTGGGATTTTGCAGTAAAATTTCCTGGTGCTACTAATGTCACCTAAGAATCGAAAGGCCAATTGAATAAAAATAATTAAAAAAATTAATAATTAAATCAATAAAATAAATTTACTAATTACATTATATCCGCGATCCACCAAAATCTTCAAAATTTCAGACATCGGATTAAGATGACTTCCTCCTATAATTTGTTAACATTAATTATTATGATTACGATTATTATAGCAATGATAGTTATAGCAATGATAGTAATGGTAACAACAGAATTAATATCCAATTTACCTCCAATAAAGGAAGTAGCAAGTATATTCTTAGGTACATTTGTTCTGTCTAATAGTGGATCTCGTTGAATAAATTTAGATGACACCTGGGATTCAATGGTAGAATGTACGAAAAAGAGAATAAATATGATTAAGTGACAAAGAGCAAATAATGAAAATGGATATTTTAGATGCATTTTTTCTTATTCTTAAGAAAAGAACCAAAAATTTTTAATCACCGCTTGAGAGGGAAAAGTTTATTTTATATAAGTTAAAGCCAAATATACTTTGATAATCTTACTCATGCATTGTGATTGACTATGTAATGACAAAATTAAATGCATACACGTTAATATGTACCGGATAATAATTATCCGATATTTATAAGTGACACATAATTTGTCTTTGTTTGTTATTAAGATTGTGCAAGAAAATCCCGATGTTTACTTTATCTAAAATATTAAAATTGTTAAAAAAAATATGTATTTCTTTATTTACTCTGCTATGATGAAATATGACTAACTTTGAGCATTTATATTAGGAAAGACTAGGAAAGACTAGGAAAGACTTGCATGTCATCAAGTAGTTCATCCGATAAACTCAATAAATGCATTAACGTTAACTAGGATAGTTACTTTCCAAAATTAGAAACATGTATTTTTACATAAGATTATAACTAGTAATAAAAAAAGAAACTTTTCATAGGAATGCAAATTTAATTTTGCGTTTTGCATTACCTGTCAACCCAAATTTTACAAAAAATTCTAAATGTTTTTTATAATATAATAAGGGAACGCCTATTTCCACCATGCTTTTCACATGACTTTCAGCTACATAAACATGTCATGAAAATTACGTAAATGGTGAAAATAGTAAATTTTCATAGGTGGAAATAGGCGTTCCCTATAATAATGCACAATATTATTAATTTTATAGAAATATAAAAATATAGGTTTACTAAACTTAATTGTGATTAAAAAATCTTGGCTCATCAAATTCAGGATTATTCAATTCAGGATTATTCAGCATGATAGTCAGTCAGCATAAAATACGAACATGATGCATCGGATTTTTCGGGAAGATAGGATGAGGTCATTACTGTGATGTACAAATTAATGATGCGCATGATGCATATTTTGGAATAATCCGGAATAGAGTGTCCGGAATTTTTCGGGATTAAATGTCGTATAAATTTTTGGTTGAATCCTTTGTATTTAGTTTGTGCACAAATTTTTGGAAAAGGCTAAAATATTGACAAGAAATATAAAAAACCTTAAGAAGGTTTACCCGTAAAGATGCCTGACAAATGTGAAACCTACGTCATTGAAGATTGACGAAACCCTTTGTCAAGCAATTCCTAATGATGAATAACGATTGACGAAACCTATGACGAAACCTATGATGATTTATGACTTACTCATTTATGTATTTTCTCAAATTACTCGATAAAGGGTCGATCACCGGAGATATCCGATGGATCTTACGAAGCAAACTACCGATACTAAAAAAATATTATCGGCTTCAAGATTTCACGTAATGTAAAACTAAAAATTAACTTTCTCATGAGTTTGTTAATTTTTTCGTATGGCAACTTTTTTATTACGAACCAAAGAAAGTTTGTTTTCATATGAACTGGTGAAACTTTATAATGAAATGGGTCATTTGCTAGGAAAATCTCAAGTGCCAAATAGTGATTTTCCTAGAAATGATCCAAATAACAATAATTTGAAAAAAAAATTTAAAAATCGATATACCCGGAGGTCGTTATAAGAGGAGACTTGAAGGACAAGGAATCAGTGATCATCACATCACGTGAAATCATGTAATTACGACATTTGTTTACTAGCGCTAAACAAATCGGCCTAAACTTTATACTATTACCTAACCCTAATTTAGGCCGAGCGACTAATCATGTGATGCGATGATCATGAAGATATCACTTGGTTCCTTGTTCTTCAAACTTACCGTTATAAGAAACTCGAATATATATAGTTAACTGTACTCTGATTCTTCATTGGTCAAATTTATTCGTTAATGGTTTCGCCAATCAGCAAAGGTTTCGTCAATCGTCAATAGTTTCGTCAGTCATGTATTTTGACGAAACATTTCGTCAAGTCAAATAGCTTCGTTAAGCATCATTAGTTACATGATCCCTAATTTCTCCCCAGTTCTGAATGGACAAAGTAGACTACGCCACTCTCCGTCTACCAATCAAAGTATTCGATTATTCTTTTTTCGATTTTAAATTTCTAGTTCGATCTTTGTACTTTGCATAAAAGAATTTAGTAAC